AAACCTTCCTGAAAGGGAAGCCTCGCTCACCTGAACAACTTTACCGCGGCGTCCCTATAACTTCGCCGCAGCCAAACCTGCCCGAAACACAAAGCCTACCTGGAACTCCCGGTACGTTGCGGCGAAGTAAAACTTCGCCGCGGCGAATATACCCTGAGAGGGGTACGTTCACCTATTCCTCCAATGAACCATCTTTTATATTTTTAGTGCTACTAAAAGCCTCTTGCTTCATTTTCACCTAGAACAAAATAATATAAATTATTTTGAATACTCTGGAATTTTTATCCCAATAAAAAATACCAAAAAGCACACTGAAATACTTGCAAATAGATCTTTAATTGTCTCAAAAATTATCAAATTATATATCAAAATGAAGATCTTGATTTTAGGGATTTTTAAAGAGAAACCGCACCCAAATAGAGCTCCCACATGCCTACATGCGCCCCTAGAAGAATAAATTCTGTGAAAAATCAAAAAATTTCAGCCCACTCGGGCTGAATACACTCGCCACTATGAAGCCAGACTCCAGCCACATGTCCGTTCCAGCGGCCTCCACGCGCCACCACGTCTCAGGTGGTGGTGTCCTCGTGTCTAAGGGGTATGCCATGTGGCGGGACGCCCCACGTGGCAGTTCTGGGGCAAAAAACTTTTTTTCTTTAAAAATAATTAAACCCTTTTTTTAGGGCACTGGACCAGGTTGGACTCAGACCAACCCGATCCAGTGGGCAAACCTAGGGATCCTTTTTTTTTAATTAAAATTTTTCAAAAAAATATATAATGGATTCGGATCGGTGACTGGTTGGGCTCGGTCCAGCTTTGGCCCAACCGGTTCCCTCCACCCTTTTTTTTTTTGTAGTGATCAAAACAATGCCGTTTTGATCACTGTGCACTGTCTTCTACCTCTAGCTGGGTCAACTTGACCTGGCTAGAGCAACAGGTCGGGTCCGACGGACCCAAAAACTTCTCTCCTTCATATCTTGGCCGGGAAAAGGTGTTTGTTTTTCACGCATTTTATATTGTTTTCTTTGTTTTCTCATCCTCTACACAATGAGATAGGTTTTGGAGCCTAAAAAATTGATTTTAAGCAAACTCAAAAAATGAAAAATCAACAGCCCTAAATGATGAATGTGTGAAACGATTTTCATGGAGGTAGAGAATCAACCCAACATGTCTAATCACGAATATAAGACACAAGAACTATCATACCAAAAATAAAATGGAGGATTTGTATAATTGATTGAAGCAAATCGCATAACCAGATGATTACTCAGAAAAACAAACGCAGCAGTGAAAATGAAAAGAAAACAATGGTTCTGCGGCTAGATAAGGCAGCGGAAAAATAAATGCTCTAATACCACTGATGAATTTGGGCATACCTGAAGTGTCAAATGATCTCAAATTCACATAGCCACACACGGATGTCTAATCACGGTAATGGAGTTAGACTGTATTTTCACAACAAATATGCTAGAGAAGAAGGAAAAGCCAGACTGATTATAATGAACTGAAGGAGGGAAGGGGAAATATATGTACGGTAGTTTTCTCATGTCCTAACTACCTTCACTTATCCACGGTTCCAATAATCGTTCCCCCCACACTATGCAATTCAAAAAACATGAGGGAAAAATCACAACCAAGGACCCGTATTTCTTTTTATTGTCACTAGAACCCCAAGCTTAATAGGTTTGGGTCCACTCTACCAAGGGTAGACTGGACCATTTTTCTACAGTAATAAATAAATCGTGTTATTTACAAATTACAAATAGTATGACCATTAAAGCATTCTTATAGTTGTCACCATTTTACAGACGATGCATTAAAACGTGTTTTGTTCAGCAGCCCCCTTCTTCAAACTATCAACATTCTTTGCATGTTTTACAAATAATGGCATGAAAAGCTTCAACATAATAGGCAAAAGGTAAAATAGAATTGAGTCTATTTTTCTAAAATTTGTTATCTTTTTATTTACATATTTAAACTTGAGACCTCATGTTTAAGGTAAAATGACACAATTTCCATCTTAGAATTAAACTTTTTATTAAAGAAAAAATGAATCATAATTAAAATTAATCATATGGACTTGTTGTTTGCAACCAATCTTTTTAAGCTTCATAATCATTCTAATTTTTTTTAGTTTCACTTTTCTCCTTTGTTTTTCTTCAGACTTCTTTCTATTTCAGTAAGATATTAGGAAAAGTGCTTTAAATTTAGCTTCTCAAAATTGAATTTTAAGGAGTAAGGTATTAAGAAAATCCAGTGAGAAAATGAAATAAAATCCCAACAAATTATAATTATGTGTGATACCATCATTATTTATTTTAAAAAGAAAAAGAAAAAGTAATCTTCACATGTATATGCCTTTCACGTGCCACTCCTAAGTCAGGCTTGTATATATGAATTGAATCATGACAAAAGTCTACTCGCCTCCACAGGTCAATTAAACATAATCATCAATTTGATTCAAAATCATGAAAATAAAAGGGCTAGAAAGATAAACACACAGTAAAAAGAAAAATCCATAACAAAAAAGACATAAGACTGGTTAGTTTTGAAGACTTTGGCTATTTTTGTAAATACAAAAAGTAACAAAAACAAATTAAATATGATATCTTTATAGTTAACATTGAGTTATAAAAAAAAAATTTAAAACATTGAGACTGTTTAAGGGAAAATGACAATGAGGTGCCATGGAAGATAATATACTACAAAAAGGTCTCTTCAAACCTGCTAATTGCATTAGAATCCCAAAGGGACTTGAGTGCATTAATGAAGGTGACTTGACACATATGCCCCTGCTAGAAGACAAACAACATTGCAGAATTGATTTCTCATGGCTTCTTCCTTGAGTTCCTCCATGAGAAAGAGAAGCTTGGTACAAAGGAAGCAAAATTGTAGAGCATCCTCCCCATCATAATTAGTTAAGTAGAAGCACCTTCTGTCTTCATCATCATAGCCAATTTCAAGGTTTGAAACTTTATTTCCTCTCAACTCCTAAAAAATTGTGGTTGGCAGATTGAGTTTGTAGAAAATTGATCTACCTTTTATTTGTTGAAAAGATTTCATTTTTCATCTACTATGAATAAGGAAAGCAATGCAAAGATTAGTTTTTGGTTTGGTGTGTGTTGGTGATTTAAGTTGGGATTTTATTGTGGGTCGGTAGAGTGATTATGAGTGCTTTGTTTTTGGGTATATTTTGGGTGGCTTGATGGTAGATTTGATTTGTTTAGGCATGGTTTAGTGGGAACAGATGAAAAGGATGAAGAGTGGTGTGGTAGAAATTCTTATTGTGAAATGGGAGAATGTGTTGTCAATTTAGATCTCAATAGTTGTCAATATGGCCGTTAACTTGTTAATCATAACTATCTTGTGTAGGTTTATATTAAAGGTGGCAAGCACATGCAGACAACATCTATTTTCTTCGTGTTCTTTTTTCATATAGGGGGAAGTTTGTAAATAATGGAGAAGATTATATGTGCTACGGAGGAAAAAGATATGTAAGTTTAGTTTAAACAAATGCTTTTATTATCATTTGTTGCCATGTAGGTTGTTACCAAATTATTGTTAAATTGTCAATATCTTCACTATAACTTGTCATTTACTGCATGATTGATCAATTGTTTGAAAGTACATATGGTGGCTTGTTCCTCATAGGAGCAACTTGCATTGTGACAAAGTATATTGTCTGTGCTACTACGCAAAAGTTAGAGCAAAAAATAGAGAGAGAGAGAGAGAGAGATTTATTATTTATGTCACTTATTGTTGTAAATGGTATACCTAATATCTAATTAGTTAAATGTTGGAATGAAAAAAAATAGCTGATTAGATTGTGTTAACAATTTAAGATGCCTCTCTTGACAATTTTTAGTATCTTCAGTGACAAGTGATGCTCCAATGCTCAATAAAATATTTTATATAAAGAAAGTTGATGAGTGGCATAATATTATTATTTAGTTTCATACTCATACATGACCTATTTTCATATTATTTGATTATTTAAAAAAAAGGCAAAATACTTTTCAAAATGACATATCAATAGGAAAATTAATAAGTGATAGAGCTATTATTAACAACTTAGGGTGCAGCTGTTAGCAATTGATATAGGGAACATTGGCAACTAAAATAATTATTAATTTTAGATTTGCAATTAAATTATAGGGTGAAGGGACAAATTTACCTATTGAAATATTAAAAAGGAGTACTAGGCAACATAATAAAATATTAGGAGCAAAAAAACCTATCAACTTTTTAAAACAAAACAAAAATATCCTTCTTGTTAAGAACCCTTAACGTCTGTCACTTCTTTTTTTCCTCATTGGGTCCCACTAAGTTTGTATGTGTCAAATATTTTGCCATGTAATCTTTCATCTTGGTCAACTCAATTTCTCACTCTTATCCAATCTCTACCAAAGCACTATGTGGTCGCTTAGAGGCATCAGTATCGTGGACTCCACTCCCTCTCTCCCTCTACTCACTTCTTGCATTTTTACACGTTGTCAGACACCCTCCCTTTTTCTTTTCATTTCTCTCTCTCCTTACCTCTCTTCTTGAACTTTTCCTTTCCTGAAAGTTGGACATACATATGGTCATCGGAATCTGGAAGCCATGAACACCGGCACCATCATCTTCTGTTGCAATCTCAACAAATCCCTCAGTCAGCCCACCTAGGATGACATTTTCCAACTCTTTTGTGAAGAATATCACCAGTTTTCTCTTTCTTCCTCTCTCTCTTACATCTAATGTTTTAAAAGCCGGATCGGAAGTCGAGCCGGAAAGAGCAGCGGGTCATGGTTCAAACGGTTGAAACGGTTAGACCATTCGGTCGGACCGGTAAGATAATAATTAAATTAAAAATAGTTATATAGTATATATATAATATGATAAATATAATTAGCATAATTTATAGTAAAATTATGTTTACTATATATGTTTTAACAAAATAAAATTCCTTAAGTCCTTAACAATCTAACACTACATGACTCCTAAGTACTCAATATAATGCACTAAGACAAATGACTTGATGACTTGTCAAATATTGGAGGATCTTGATTAAGCCAAGCATGAGTCTCCAAAAAAGCATCTGGGTCTGCAGCCTCTGCACTGTGACTATCAATGTCTTGTTGAGAACATGATCCCAAATCAACACCTGCTCCAACTCTAATGTCAAAGCATCCATCCTCAACTTGAGCCTCATTGCCTCTCTCTTCATAATTATCTTTATAAAATAGTTTGCAACAATCAAATTATTGAAATTAGTCAAATGTAAAATATAAATTAAAAAAATAGAAAGATTAGAAAACATCTAACCTTCTTCATTGATGAAAACTTTTGGCATTGGTAGTGTTGTATCATCATAAATGATGTCTTCTTCAATCTCATCAGTACGAAATGTTGAAAGTGGAGGAGAATCAACTTCTTCAGTTATCCAGTATTCAATCTTATCAATACTTTCATAATCAATAGGATCAAAAGTTTTGTTCTTGTTAACAACTCTAAAAAAACAAATGACAATAACATAGTATTAGCATTAATTTAATTAATTGTTTGGAAAATATAAATTCAAGTAGAGTCTAAAAGTTGGAAAAATATACCTATTCCTCAAACGAAAATTGTAATGAACAAAGACAAGATCATTCAGCCCTTTATGCTCCAACCTGTTCCTTTTCTTAGAGTGTATTCTTTCAAAGACACTCCAATTCCTTTCACAGCCTGATGAAGATGCAATTTGGCTTAACAATTGAATGGCCAACTTTTTCACATTTGGACAGCTACCTCCAAAAAATCACCACCATTCATCTGTTATATCAAAAATAAAACATCATCAAATGATTAAGTCACAGGCTTAATACCTAAGAATCAAGAATCATGACTCATCAAACTATCATCAAACATTAAAATATAAAACTTTACCAGGTCGCATTGATTTTGCATATTCAAGGGCCAAAGGATGACTAAAGCTACCACTTCTATTTTGGTACTGTGTGCCTTCTTGCAAGAACTTGGTCTTATTGGAAGCTATTTTTCTATTTATAACTGTAAGATATTCATTCATAACCTCTGGCTTTTGAGAAAAGTTAGCCTGGTCATAAAGAAAAGCAGGATTTAAGACATAAGCTGCTGTGTGAAGATCTTGACGAAGTTGTGTATCCCACCTTCTCTTAATAATTCTTGTATAAGGCTTGTATAAAGTTTTTTTGTTCATGAAAGTACTCTTGATAGCTTTCCTTGCCCTATACATACCCTCATAGATATATCCAAGCGAAGGCCTATCATCAGAATCAACTATTCTCAACAACCGAACAAGTGGTTTCACAACTTCAACAATAATCTTACAATCATTCCAAAACTTGTTATCTAATATAATCAATGTAACATCTTTGGCTCTCTGATCTCTATAGTATCTAGAATCTAAAAATGCCTTGCTAGTTACTAGGGCTTTTAAATCATGCTTGTGATCAAGAAGACTTTTTAATGCAATAAATGTGGTAGCAAACCGTGTAGGTCCTGGATGGATGATTTCTTTCCAACCTTCTCTTTTTCTCAGCCAGGCAAGCAAAAATGCATGATTGTAAATGAATTTTGAAACCTTTGAAGCTCTTGATGCCAAACTAGTAACAAGAGCCATTCTACTAATGTCTGCTAAAATTAAATTTAAGCAATGGGCAGCACATGGAGACCAATATATAGAAGGATGCTTGTCAGTTAATAACCTCCCAGCAGCTTTATAATTAGCTGCATTATCAGTTACCAAATGAACCACATTATCCACACCAACAAATGTAACCATTTCCAAGAATAAGTTACAAAGAGTTTGGGCATCCTTCACAATATCTAAGGCATCAACAGACTTAATGAACACAATCCCTCTAGGACAGTAAACAAGAAAATTAATCAATTGCCTATTTCTTTGATCTTGCCAACCATCAGCCATTATTGTGCAACCAGCTTCTGCCCAAAAGCCTCTACACTCATCAACTAACAATTGAACCTCCTTTTTCATATCTTGTAGTAATTTGGTTCTAAAAGCATGATAAGATGGCCCTTTATAACCAGGTCCAATAGCTGCAATAGCATCTATCATAGGCTGGAAGTAAGGAGAATTAACAGCATTAATTGGAATACAACAATCATAGAGCCACCTAGCCATAGCTAAGTCTGCTCTATGCACAGCTTCCTTACCTGCAAACGCACTTCTAATTCCCGGTTGTGCACTTGGACTTGTCCTTGGGGCAAAGAATTTGTCTATTGGTGCAGATGGCTTTCTTTTCATAGCTTGAGATGGTCTTAAGGCAGAAGTTTGAATATTTTGCTGAGAAGAAGTTGGAGTAGGAGTTTGAATCTGTGTCGGAGGAACCTCTTGCAAATTTGGAGCATCCCCTTCAAATGGTGTGACACTAGGACCATAGGGATTGTCCTCCTTATATATATCTTGTTTCTTACCTTTCTTCTCTTCAATTTCTTTCAAATTTTCTCCCAACCGAAAGCGAACATCACCCGGAACTTTTTTACAACTTATTATATCTCCTTTTATTCCCGCAAGATGCTGTTTCATTCTATGTATCCCTCCACCTCCAAATTCCTTTGCACAATACAAACATCTCAAGCGAGGTTTGCCACTTGAGTTTTTGCTAGCTACTTGAACACAATGTTCCCATGCAGGATCAGCCTTCGATCTCACAGATTGTGTAGATGGAGCATTACCAGATACTTCTTGTGGTTGGGATGACATCTTCTAATTTCTACAATACAAATACATAATAGTATCAATTAATTATAACTAGTAAACATATCTAGAGAGCATGTTAATTAAGAAAAGGATTTTGAATTTAAGCACTCAATTATTTAAACAATTAATTATAGTTCATGGAAATATAATTATAATTTATGGATCATATAGGACTATAAGTAATACTTAGTTTTTTTTTGGTCAAATTAGATCCCCCACGGCCCCACTTACCCACTAGCCTTCTTTAAATAAATATAACCCATCAGGCATCATCAAGGCATCAAGATCAAGCTTCTTTAAGTTAAAGAATAAATAATCAATCATCATTAGATCCCCTACGGCCCCATATTCGAATGGATAACTAAAATATTAAGTCCCTGTCTCTTTGACTCTATGCACATAGCTAGGTCCCACGGTTTATTTTTATATTTCTTTCTAACTTCATTCCAAACTCAACAAAATCCTCCTGGTTACATGCAAATGGAAACATATATATGTATATGACAGTTACAGGCTTCTGAATTGTTTTATCATATTCTTCAGTACATTCAACTTGGATTAAACGCATATTTAGGAGACAGATCACGATGTAGCTGAAGTAAACACAAGTTGGTCAGCTCGCTGCGAAGAAAAATGGATCCTACCATGGATTCCTCGGTCACAGCTCAGAGCTCACTCAACACACATATATATAAGCTTATACATCGGTCAAAATCAAATAGTTACAGGCTTACAGCTTATTCAATATATATATATATATAAGCATCAAATGCTATCTTCTCCATCAGTACTACTAGTAGTCGGCTCTGGTTTTGGCAAAATAAACAGAGCATAGGTTCATTGAAATTTGAAACAGCCGATTACCGATACAAAGCTGTTTAGAATCCAATGAGCAGAGAATGATTTACCTGTTTAGAATCCAAGAGATTTGAACTGTGATGACTTCAGATTTATGATCACCTCTGCCTTTAAGCCTCCACTTCTCTGACTTGGGTTTTTCCAGCTCCTTCAAAGCGAGAACGTGCGGACGCTAAATCAAAAATAACCTGATCGTGAATGCTGGTGGACGATGGTGCGTATGAACAGAGTACAATGGAGCACGGTGGAGGACGACGGAGGAAGACGGAGCACGGTGGGGACCTAGGGTACTCAAACTCACAAAGTCGGTCCCGCCACTCTCGCGTTCGACAGAAAAGCCGAAAGTGCCAAGCAAAAAGTCAAAAACAGGGGTCGTTTTTTTAAAAAATTATTTTTTGTAATGTAATATATGGACTTTTGGCAGTTTTTGGGCCTCTTTTTTTTATTATGATGATACTTCAGCCCGTCCGGTTTTTACAAATCCGGAACGGCTTCCGGCCCAACAACGGCTTCTGGCCCAACGGCGGATAAAAGGCGGTCCAAAACGGATTAACCACTCAGGCGGCCCAAACCCTCTGTCTGAGCCATTGTGTGGACTGGGCGACGGTCGGACCGTCCGGTCCGGTCCGGTTCTTAAAACCTTGCTTACATCTTTTATTTCCTAGCTCACTGTCGATACTGCCACCTTTTGCTACGTTCTCTTTGATCGAATAGCCTGAAGCCCACGATTTCTCAAATATACGTCTTTGATTTCTGCAGACCATTTCACAGATCTCGTTGTTCTTCTTCCTCTCCTATGGCATCAAGTCATCTTTGATTTCACATCTCATATGAGTCTTTGATTTTTTCGTTCTCATGATAGTTGTGGGTCTTTGAAAGATTGGCTATGGGTGCTTGATATTATTTAGAATGATTGTTTCCCCGATTGGATTATATTGTGCTTGATGTTGATGATTTACTCTCATGGTAAGGATGCTTAAGATCTAGATTGTGTATGATTTTTTTGGGTTTTCTTGGTTTGATTAATGTTTCTAGTGGGAGGAGGATGACAAAATGGAAGGAGTTGATGATGACGATAATGGTCTAGTAGTGGGAATTGGGAATTAGGAAAGGCGACAATCGGGGGAGGAAGAATTTTCACAGTTGTTATATTTTTTGTCCAACTCAGATATTATTCTGCCATATTTGCCTCCACATCACCATTTTTAGTCATAGATATTTTTCTGAATGGTCAACGTTATTCATTTTAATGGCAATGGTATTTTAGAACCCTTTTTGAATCATTATGAGTAATTTTGCTCTCCACATTTTATTATGATGTCTAATGCTCTTTTTCAATATTATAGTGGATAAATTTGCTCCTTCATCCTAAATCATATTTAATCAAAAATATAAACATTATATCATATTATATAACATGTTATAACTAGAATATATTTCTCAAATTTATGTTAATTGAATGACATATTTCAAAACTTAAGCAGATTTATATGAGTTGAAAAGGGACAATACATCATTGGCAAGTTAAGCTATTACCATTAACAAGTTAAGGTATAGTTAATGATAGTGTCATAATTGACAGGTCCTACTATCACAATTGACAAGTCAAACTGCAAATATTGACAACTCACGCGGCCACCATTGACAAGTAAAGGCTTAATTAATGACAAGTGATTTTATAATTTCAAATCAATGACAATTAACTTTTAATAATGATGGTATATCACATTACACCCTAAATGTATTAGTGCAAAGGAATTGACAATATTATATGACATTATGTAACTTGAAATCACTTTTTTTTAAAACTTATATTAGCAGATAAATTGACAAATGATAGTGGTACAAGTAACATGTGACAACATCTGTATTGACAATGTAGGGTGTAGATAATGACAATTGATTACATATCAGAATCCAACATATTAGTTTACAGTCAACTTTCATTTACAACTTCATATAAATGAAATTAGACCAATTTCATAACCCATCCAAAAAACATAGGGGTTGTATGTATCCAATATCAAACTAGCCCTATATGCTTGAGTGTAATTCAGTTGCACGTCACAATGATCTTTTGTTGATTATTCTTCATAGATTTGAATAAAAACTTTTGGGATATGCACTTCCATTTTATAGAATTCATTTGAGGTCTAGGCATTGGCATCATTTTAACAGCACATGACATTGATGGTAACTCTCTAGTCTCGTAATAAAAGGTAGGAGGAGATATAGATAATCCATTTGCACTTCCTAATAATTGATCCATCTTGCAACAAATAACAAGTTATAGGGTAAATATTAACAATTTAGCAGTACTTTATCAATAATTTACACAGCAACAAATGATAATAAAAAAAACATTTGTTCAAACTAAACTTACACATCTTGCTCTTCCATAATGCATAGTCTTCTTCATTATTTACAATTCCCCCTATATAAAAAAACAACATAGATGCTTTCTGCATGTACTTGCTACTTTTAATATAAACCTATACGAGACAATTATGACTAACATGTTAAGCAGTTGTATTGACAATTACCGCTGCCTAAATTGACAACATATTCTCCCATTTCGCAGTACGAGTTTCTACCCACACTATCCTTCATCCTTTTCATTCATTCCCACTAAACTATTCCCAAACAAAGCAGACCCACCATCAATCCACCTAAAATATATGCAAAAACATAGCACCAATAATCACCCTTTCGACCAACAATGAAACTTCAACCTAAATCATCAGCACACATCAAACCAAAAACTAATCTTTGCATTGCTTTCCTTGTTCATAGCAGATAAAAAATGAAAGCTTTTCAACAACTAAAGGGCAGAGCAATTTTCTACAAACCCAATATGCAAACCACAATTTTTTAGGAGATGAGAAGAAATAATGTTTCGAACCTCAAAATCGGCTATGACGATGAAGATAGAAAGTGCTTCAACTTGACTAATTATGATGGACAAGATGCTCCACAACTTTGCTTCCTTTGTAGCAAGCTTCTCTTCTCATGGAGGAACACAAAGAAGAAGCCATGGAAAATCAATTCTACAACAGTGTCTTTTAACAGGGGCATATGTATCAACTCAACATTTTCATTAATGCACTCAAGTCCCTTTGTGACTCTAATGCAATTAGTAGATTTGAAAGGACCATTTTATAGTATTTTATCTTTCATGGGATCTCAGTGTTATTTTTCTGTTGTTTAAATATATTACGACATCAAAATCCATAAAAAAGAACATCTAAAGATATTAATAATTATTAAACCTCAGAAATAATTTTAGCAAAATTTTCATCTCCAGAAAATGAAAATTAATTATACTTTATAATAAAATGTAGTCATATACTTTGGGAAAAATGAAGAGTTTTTTTTTTGGGGGGGGAACAACCGGAGAAATCTGTCGGATATAATTTATACGATGGACATCTTGATAATTTCATAAGATAATTTCTAAAACTTTTAAATTTAATTATTATATTATATTATATATAACTTTATTTACTTTTCAATGTATTCATATTTTATTTTATCTTTATTTTTTTATTTTTCTTTCTTGGGTTGTTATAATTTAATCAAGGAATAATGAGACGTTAAAAAGAATATTTATGTACGGACTTTTCATCGGCTCCCCCATGACGAAGCGAAAATCAAAGCTTTGTCGCTAAGTTCATTCAGATTTCATGCATGGTGGTTTCATTCCATGTAAATTATAATGACGCATTTTATAGATGGTAGAATTTCTATATGCACAAAACTGTAAATGTCCAGTAATGAAGAAAGAAATAAGTCTCACCAAAATATAAAAAGAAAAAAAAAAGGAAATGCAAAATTGAAGGAACAATGTATTAAATAATGCAATGAAAATGTCGTCCAATAAGTGAAATTGTTCAACACGAAAGGAAAGTAAGAGACGAAGCTTCTTCTCATACATTAACATAGATTTTGGGTTATTTTATACCCCAGCAGACTTGACTAAAAAAAAAAAATTGCAGCCAAAAAACATGGTTATTTATATGTAAGAACAAATATGTTCCACGTCTTGTTAGGACGACTTGACTTGATTCGGAAATGGAGAAGTATAAAATGATGTGTGTGTGTCAGTTGCTGGTTGTGCAAGATTTGATAAGTTTGATATGACCAAA